GGTCAGGGTGAGGGGAGGGAAGGGAGAGAGCGAGGAGGGGGTAGAGAGTCGAGAAGGAAGGTGAAGGCACGGTTGAAGAGAAAGGTCTTGAGACCAGCCTTGAAGAAGGAAAGGGAGGAGGCAAGGCGAAGGCACTGGGGGATGGAGTTCCAGAGCCTAGGGGCTGAGAGGCTGAAAGCCCGACCGTCAACGGTAGGGCGGTTGGGGCGGGGGATGTGGAGCAGACCGGAGCCAAAGGTGCGGGACAGTACACGAGCTGCAGAGTTCTGAATGACCTGCAGCTTGTGGAGAGAGGTGCCAGGAAGGCCGGCGAGGAGAGAGTTCCCATAGTCCAGCCTTGAGGTGATAAAGGCGTGGACCAGAGTTTCAGCAGCGTGAGGGGTGAGGTAGTGCCGTAGTCTGGCGATGTTTCGGAGGTGATGGAAGGCGGTGCCAGTTGTGGCGCGGATATGAGGGAGAAAGGACAGCTCAGGGTCAAACAGAACACCGAGGTTCCTGACCGGCTTTGAGAGGTGGAGAGTGCAGCCTTGGATGCTGATGCTGTCAGCGCCTGAGGTGCGGAGGCGCTGACGTGAGCCAATCAGGAGGGCCTCAGTTTTGCGCATATTGAGCTGAAGAAAGTTGTCTCTCATCCAGGACTCGATGTTGGACAGGCAGGCTGTCAGGACATCGGTGGTCGTGGAGTTGAGGGTAGAAGAGGAAAGGTAGAGTTGGGTGTCATCCGCATACATGTGGAAGTTAACCCCATGTCTGCGGATGATGTCATCGAGGGGGAGCATATAGAGGGTGAAGAGGAGGGGACCGAGGACAGAGCCCTGAGGGACACCGCATGAGACAGTGCGGGGGCTGGAGGAAAGCCGTTTGATGAGGCAAAATTAAGACGGTGGGAGAGGTAGGACCTAAACCACTCAAGGAAGGTTGAGGTGGGAGGACAAACGGTGGAGGATGATAGAGTGGTCGACCGTATTGAATGCGGCTGATAGGTTGGGGAGGACGAGGAGGCAGAGGTCGCAGATGGTCAAGATGTCATTAGTGACCTTGACCAGGGCGGTTTCCGTGCTATGGGCAGCACGGAAATCACTATATCAAATGCAAGAATTATTATTATTATAAACATGTACAGATAGATATCAAGTCAGGCATCAGGAACCCAAGCTGACCTCTCTCCTCCTGAACCATCAGTGAAGAGTTCTCCTTCAATCAGAAGGTGTGGGTGTCCAATCTTTCCCTTAGCCCAGGCACAAATTAATTTTTCTAAAAGTTCCGATTTTGAATTAGGTGCAAAAGGTTCAGAATAGACACAAGGAAGAATTTCTCAACCCAGCAAGTAAAAATTGGAACAGGTCACCAGGTGGACAATGATTGTTGGTTGAGGTAAGCACACTTAGCGTCCTCCCGATGTGAAAGGCACTATACAGATGTAATTTTGTGTTGTTAATTAAAAGGTGCTCGACGCTGATATGGGAGGACCGGTAGGTGGGTATCCCAGAGGAATGAGATCAGGTAGAACCAAGAATTATCTTTATCCAAACTTCTTATAATCTTGTGCAAATTTATGCTTTATATCACTTGGAGTAATCAAAACTGAAAACATACTTGCTTCTTCCTACTTGAAAAATCATTCTCCACCTGCAATCTAACAACATCCAGGTCTACAAAACATATTTATACTTCACAATTAATACAGCTTAAAACTTGAAAATAAAGCAGCAACATACTGCTGATTAACAGTTTGTTGTCCATTTGTAGTGGATTCTCTAAAAACAAAGATTCTGCCAAAAACAAATTCAGCAACCAACTAGGAAGAAATGTGTTCAACCTAGCTCAACAGACTTATTTGTTCTCAAACAACTTTTAACATATATAAGAAAATGCAACTGCAACAAAATTACATTTATATTTATTTACATTTATATAGCACTTTTCACAACAGAAAGACGCCCAAGGCGCTGGACAGTTACGGGGTTTCAGCAATATAGAGACTACAAGACAACACAACAAAGAATAACCATTGCTGAGAAGGTCCTTTATATATGAGCAGTAGCCAATCCCTTTCCAGTCCTGATCAACCAGTTCTTTTGCCAGGAGAAGATCCATCAGCTGAGGTCCATCCCACCCCAGTTTGTCTACTGAAAGAACAACAGTGTCAACTAACTACTTGTTCACACATTAATGATTTTTATTAATTCGTTGAACCCATCCCTCTCTCTCAATTTGAGATATATGAAATGCAAGGATTATTATATTATAAATTACATTTGGTCCATCACATATTTTCACCGGCTCTGACCACAGCATTGTGGAGTCCTGTAGCTCAGTGGTTAGAGCACTCGCTTTGCAAGCGAGAGACCTGAGTTCAATCCCAGGCAGGGCGAAACCTTGGGCAAGTTTCCTTACTCCACACGCCTAATAAATATCCCTCCAAAACCCCAAACAATAATAAAATTGGTCATTTTCAATCTACGACTGTTTGTGGGACATTGCTGTGCGCAATTGGCTGCCGCGTTCGCCCACAAATATACAGTCAATTCACTTTACAGTGTGTTCTGTGAAGCACTTTGGGACGTCCTTCCGACGTGAAAAGCGCTATATCAAATGCAAGGATTATTATTATTATTGTAACTTCAGCTATAGGCGTGATCTCAGACAAAAGTATTTCATCTTGCTTTTGTTGTAGCACTGATAATATCAAAATATCTTAAATTACTTCACCGGCAATTACTGTCAAATGCAATGACTATGCAGTTGTGGGCTGACTCTGCAACTGGTTTGCACACAGATTCACAAAAGCATGCGTAAAGTGAATACAAATTAATCTTGAGGGTTTATCACCTCCAGACTGGACTTCTCCAATACCTTCCTCACCAGCCTCCCTAGTTTTTTAAAATTCAGCTCCTCACATCCTCATCCGCATTCCACACCCTTGTCTTCAAGGGCCAATTTTTCACCACAAAACTTTGCCTCCTCCCACCTCCACCATTCCCGGGCGGTGCCCCTGGGCCGAGCACTGCAGCCAATCCTGGTTCTCATCACCAGAGGCTTCAAGCAGGATGAAATCACCATCTGGGGCCAATCACAGCCCAGTTTATCTCCAGGAATACACAACTTTTGAGTTATTTCAATATAAATCTCAACAAACAACTTGTGGAACAAAGTCAACAAAGTATATCTTCACTCAGTAAACAGCACATTCATTTCAATGTCACTGAACCAAAGACTGTGATAGCCTCCTCCAACCCTTGCAGAATCTCCCCTGAATTGGAAGATGTGCTCTACATTGAAGGTCACCTTGAGTGACACTGAGACATTCAGGTTCTGGGTTGCTTTGACGGAATGAAGCTCAGTGTCTGAAACCACAAGTGAAACACATAGTGATCAGGGGCAGCTGCGACTGCTCCAGGCACAGAGTAAAGGGGACTCTAACATCAACTCTGTTAAAAGTTAAAAGAAACAGATGTTTCCCTCAATGGGTGGTACGAAGGGAACAGTCATGGTGACCGGACTAGTACCAAAGGTTTGAATCCTGCAGTTGCATAACTTGAATTTAAAAAAAACAAAATGACTGGCTCAGTTCACAACACTTTCAACTCTGAGTTAGAAAGTTGTACGTTCAAGCCCCACTTTGGGACATGGAACTCACAATCCAAGTGGAGACTACATACAGTGCTGAGAGTATCAATGCATTGTAGGTCATAAAACCTCACATAGATCATAAAACCAAGGTTGGGTTGCCTTTTCAGCTGGATGGAAAAGATTTTGTGGTACTATTTGAAAACAGAAGAGTTTCTTCCTGTGTCCTGGTCAAAGAGAAAGTCATCAATGCAACTTGTAATGTAAGTAAAGAGGGGTTGAAGGGGAGGGATTGAGTGTCACTTTGCAGTAAATCCTGGGAATTGCTTTGAGATGTTTTGACATGATAAAGCACTGTATCAAATGCAAGGATTACTTTTGTTCTCATCATCAAAGACAGCAACCAACCCTCATTCCAGCTGGAGAGCATGAGAAACAGCATACTTTGGAATGAGTTGCCAAACTACTGAAGCTGTGGCACAAGACGACCTGCATGCTAAACATCAAAGTGAAATGTAATAGATCAAGCTGAGCAATCTTACCTCCAACGGGTCAGACAAATACTCTGAATTACAAAGCAGTCACATCTCAGGCTGACCTCACCCACTGACCTGCTGGCAATTAATACAGGCCATCACAAGGCTCCTGGGTGCCAGCCGCATGAGGCAAGACAATGCTTGGCGCCAGAATTGGCAATGATCCCATCTCACTGATTTTGTGACAAACTCAGTGTGTGATCAAGTTGTGTTTTGCTTTATTTTCAGGTTTTGAGCCAAAATGTTGTTGATCTGGAAATTCCAAATTCAAGTAGAAAACTTCGAGGAGGGGATGAGTGGGTTTGACTCAGTGTTTCACCTGAAGGACATTGGTTTCGATCCAACCCAAATGGATTGTATGAATGTCTCCTTCACTGGCGGCTGGAAGGATCTTATGCAACATTGGTTTACCCAAGTCTAATCCCATTCCTTATGAGCAACAACAAAAAACAGATATTTCCCAAGTCAGATACAGTTCAGGTTAGAAATAAATGTAACACCCTTTTGACATTGTTCCATCCAGCACGCCCAGGTAGCATGTCTGACCCGTTGGAGGTAAGATTGCTCAGCTTGATCTATTACATTTCACTTTTCGTGTTTAGCATGCAGGTCGTCTTGTGCCACAGCTTCAGTAGTAAATCTCCCTTGATTTACTACATCAAAATGAGCAGCCAAATCTATACTGCACAGTGCATTGCCTTAGTGAAACATCTGAGGAACTGTCCACAAATAGCAGGAGGTTCAACTTCATCTTTCAACATGGAGAGTAAAAATGCTCCTATAGTCTGCAATAACAGAACAGGGAAAGGGAAGAGCAAATAAGATGTTTGAATGCTTTATTTGTCTCTGATAGAGCATCATATGACAATACATCTACACAGCTCCACTCACGCATCAAAGTGATTTGCAGGTTAAGTATTAATCTATTTATTGCTCAATTTGTAGGAGCAAATGAAGTTATACTCTTGAGAGCAGTCAGCGTCGAACCACAGCCCGTTCTCTGGAAAACAAACACAGACACACACTGTGAGACTTGTCCACAAACGCATGCAGAAAATCCCAAAGAGAGAGCCAGAGCAATGCAATCATATAAGCAGATACAAGCCCATCTTCTGTTAATAAGGTGAAGAACCAGAGGGTGATCGTTCCAATCACCATTTTGAGGTTGACGAAATAAGGATCATGTCTAAAAGCTCTCTGATGTGAAAGGAATGAGAGAGACAACAAACGACCCATTATTTGAGACATGCCTGGCAAGAGCAAGCAGGTCAGAACAAAAATATTCCTAAAAACTCATGCATGCTGAAGTCTCATTCCCCTGATCTTCACCCACCATGCCTGTGCTGCTGGTATTTCTCCCATTGGAGCTATCTACACGAATCTCATTCCCTGCTTTCAGCCCCATCGAGTCTGTGCTGGTGCTCGTTCCTCCAACGGAACCCACTAGTCTAATCTCATTCCTCTGATTCCATGCTTTGTATTTCTAGCTGGTTAAACACCAGCAATTCTCAAACACTGAGGTCCCCAAGCCTTGGGGACTTGACACTTTCTGGAATAAGATATGTAGGATGTGTCCCTCCAGGAAGAGAGTGCCCATTTCCATTCTAGACACAAGGAAACTTCCAAACTTCTCAGTCGGAACTGGCATAGTGATGGATTTTTGCACATGGCAAACATCCAGCTGACGACAAAAATGAATCTCCTGCTTTTACTCCAGCATGTCTCATCAAGTGTGAGCTCCCACATTGGAAATATCTAATCCCATTCCTTACATTTTCCCCTCATCTCAGGGCTCGTGCCCTTCGCGGTGCAATATACTCAAATCCCTTTCCTTACTTTGTTATAGCTCCCCCACTGGGCCTATCTCATACCATCCCCTGCTTTTCCTTCATCGTATCTGGGCTGGTGCTTGCATCCTCACTGGAGCTATCTCCTCCATAAAAATAATAATCCTTGCACTTGATATAGCGCTTTTCATGTCGGGAAGACATCCCAAAGCGCTTCACAGATCATACTGTAAAGTGAATTGACTGTATATTTGCAGGCGAACGCGGCAGCCAATTGCGCACAGCAATTCTCAATCCAATATCTTCATTTTTCAAGTGTTCACCTTATTCGCTTTTAAAAGATGTAACTGACTCAGCTGTGTATGACCATGTATTCCACATCCAAATAACACTGAGCATCTTATCTCCCCTTAACATTTTCAGCAATAACCCTCAGTTGTTATGCCCATTTCACCATGGGAATAATCTGTGACCATTTAGCTCTCAAACACTTTACTAGTTTTCAACATGTCTATTTGATCTACTGAGAATACCACCCCAGCATTTAAACCTCACGTCATAACTTTATCCTTTCTCCCTGGTATTACGACCAGTGGCCAGACTACACTGTAGTAGAACACCACACATCCATACAACTATCCAAGTATCCAAGTTGGACTCTGATGTTGGCAAGAAAGTACCTGTTATTGTGTACACATGTGCAAAGTTACAAGGTTCAAGATTTAATCGTTAAGTGTGACGGTTGGGCACACAACAAAAGGAAGGCAAGTCATTCAGCAAATTATTATAGGAGCAGTGTAGAATCTGAGTGGGAGATAGACACAGAAAGAACACTTGAGACAGAAACAGTGGGTGTGAAAGAGATACAAGTGTACCTGCACAGGAAGAAAAATGAGAGGACTGGTATGTGTGGCACTTTAGTGACAGTGTAACGCCTGATGAAAGGTTTTGGTTGATGACCCGTTATCCTTAATGTTTCCATATCCACAATTGGGCCAATCCCATATACTGCTTTTGCCAGCACAAGTAAAGATGACATACTGTTTTTATTCATCATCACACAGTTTTCCTTCTGCTTCCCATCATCAGGCTGGTTGTAATACCATTCGCTGTGGTCCATCCGTGAACCGTCCAGCCACAGAAAAGTCCCCTCCTGCAACAAACCGATGAAGTTTATCAATGTAGAGAAATTACTTGCAAACTGAAAAATGTTTTTGAGAATGTGGAACACAGACCTAAAAGGGAGTTTCGTAGGAACTTCTTCAGGCAGAAAGAGGTGGGAATATGGAACTCACTGTCAGAAGTTGTCATTGAAGCAAAAAGTATCTACGTATTTAAGGAGTCCCGAAGCGGTTTGGAGTTCCATAACACTATGGTTAGTGCGCCTGCCTCACAAGCGAGAGGACCCAGGTTCAATTCCCGGGTGGGGCAAAACCTTGGGCAAGTTTCCTTATTCCACACACCTCGGTTTACCTAGCAGTAAGCAGGAACCCAGTTGTTAGTCGATTGGTGGATAATAACTGATTGAGGGTAATAATCCCTCCAAAAAAAGAATTGGTCATTCAATCCAAGTTTGTGGAACACTGCTGTGTGCAATTGGCTACTGCATTTCGACCACAAAATACAGCCGATTCACTTTACAATATATTCTGTGATGCGCTTTCAGATGTCTCAACGATGTGATAAGTATTATTATTATTATGTGGAAACTTGATGCATACATGAGGGAGAAAGGAATAAAGAGGTCGAGGAGAAGGAGTTGGAAGCTCATGTGTAAGATAAATACAGACTAGTTGGGCCAAATGACCTGTTTCCGTGCCATATCATACTATCGAACTGTATGTAACTTACTTTATAGCAGTCACTAGCACCAATCCATGTCATTGTGTCTGCATGGTGGTACGAGATCTGTATGAGGGCTGAGAGGAACAAGTTTTCCAATGGGCAATGCACAGAGGCGAGATGCCCTCCTTTGGCCAGGTTTTGACAGAACAACTGAAAAAACAAAAGACACGATAGTAACGTTTGGACTTGTTGATAGTAATGTTTGGACATGGCGTCAACTTCCACATATATGCGGATGATACCCAACTCTATCTCTCTGCCTCGATCCTCGACTCTGGACCACTGCTGACCTGACGGAATGTCTGTCAAAGATCAGGATGAAAGCTAACTTTCTACAGTTGAACATCAACAAGACTGAGGCTCTTCTGATTTGCTCCCATCAGCGCCTCCACACCTCAGGTGTTGGCAGGACGCCTAGCACGCCCCATCCCCCACCCACTCTACACACACTCCCTACACACCCTCCCATCCCGCACCTCTCCAGCCACAGCCCTGCCATACCCCTCTATTCCCACACAGGAACAAGGAACGTGTTACCTCTGCATCAATCCAATTGATCTTTTCATGGATGTACTTGGAACAGATTCCATTATAACTAACAAAGCCTTCCAGGCAGGGTCCCTTGCAGATACCCGTTTCATAACAAAGGGATTCAATTTTCCCACCATAATCTGATGTGCTTTTGCTTTCAGCAGGTGGCACATAGAAAGCTGCAGGCAAAGAAAAAGAAATTAACATTAAACATGACAATTCAGCTCCAAATGAAAAGGGCACTTTGTCCTGTGTGTTATGTTCTCAACAAACAATGTGTAGAACACTATTTTATTTCAGCTCACCGGTTACAAAAATCAAAAAGTCCAACCAAAAGTTCTCTACTCAGTTCTCCCTGCTTCCTGCATTTCTACCTCATGATCTCCTCCCATTGCTTCTTGTCAATTGGTCCTTATTGTCTTAATGAGTATCCAACATCTTCCCTTTTTTGGTTTCTTCTTATTTTTATTGTTTTTCTTTGCATTTCAGTTTTGTTTTCAATTAATCTCCTTGTTGATTTTACTACTTTTCCTGACTTGGTGATTCTCAATGTTTTTGGCATCCTCATATCTTCCATTTGCTCTTCTTTTTTTTTTACCTCTGTCCTTCTTTGGCATATTTCCCACGATGTCCTTCCATATATTTTTCCTTTATCACTTTTAAGTCAATAAGATCTTGAGTTTTCAATGGTACCTTATAATCCGAGCAGATTATCGCCTTTTAATTTTACAATGTGAAACTTTATCTACTTTTAGTCTACTTTTCCCCTTTTCCAATTTGTCTTTATTGGATTCTCCCAGCTGTATATAATGACATTGCACTTGCCTGAGCTCCTGTATACAATTTGCACCTTAACCGTTTCCTTTCTTCTGTGCACCATAGCGATATCATACACTCCCTTTTTTCTTTTTCTGTATGCGCTATCTTCATGATTTTTATTGCATCAATATTATTCTCTTCTTGTTCAGTCACTCCAGATTTTGCATCAGAATTATCCCTTATTTCATCTTGCCTTGATCTTATTTGCTCTATTCTAGTTCTCTGTGGCTTATTTGGCCCTTTGTACTCATTTAGTCCTATATGCCTTTTCTCTGCCATAACTCTTCTATCAGATCACCCCTTACACTTCTCTTTTCAAGAGAGAAGAGTTCAAGTATGTTCAGCCTTTCCTGATAGGTATAAGCTCTCAGTTCTGGGATCATCCTTGTGAATCTCCTTTGCGCCCTCTCCAGTGCCTCTACATACCTTCTATAATGTAGGGACCAGAACTGCACACAGTATTCTAAGTGTGGTTTAACCAAGAGATTTACTTATAAAGAGATTTATTTATAGAGGTTTACCATAACAACAACAAGATTACATTTGTATAGCACCTTTCACGTCGGGAGGACGTCCTAATAACTTCCCTACTTTTAATTTCTATCCCTCTAGAAATGAACCCCAATACATGGTTTGCTTTTTTTTATGGCCTTATTAACCTGCGTTGCTAGTTTTAGTGAATTGCGTATGTGTATCCCTAGATCCCTTTGCTCCTCTACCCCATTTAGGATTTATTTTCCAGGATATATGTGACTTCCTTATTCCTTCTACCAAAATGTACCACCTCACACTCTTCTACACTGAAATGAATTTGCCATTTAAATGCCCACTCAGCAAGTTTATTAATGTCTTGCTGTAATTTGTTGCAGTTCTCCTCTGTATTAACAACTCCATCTAATTTAGTGTCTCTGCAAATTTTGAAATTGAACTGCTGATTCCCAAATCCAAATCATTAATGTATATTGTGAACAACAGTGGTCCCAATACCGATCCTTGTGGAACACCACTGCCCCCCCGCTGCCAGTCTGAGTAGCTACCCTTTACCCCTACTCTCTGTTTTCTGTTTTGCAGCCAGCTTGCTATTCATTCTGCTATTTTTCCCCTGACTCCACATGCTCTGACCATATTCATTAGTCTATTATATGGTACCTTATCGAATGCCTTTTGGAAATCTAAATATATTACATCTACCGCATTACCCTTGTCTACACTTTCTGTTATCCCTTCAAAGAATTCAGTGAAGTTGGTCAAGCATGACCTTCCTTTTTTGAAATCCATGCTGACTATTCTTTATTATATTTTCTGTTTCCAGATGTTTTTCTATTACCTCCTTCAGTAAGGATTCCATTATCTTTCCTACCACCGATGTTAAGCTGACAGGTCTATAGTTCCCTGAGCTTGTTCTATCTCCCTTTTTAAATAAAGGTATAACATTAGCTATTCTCCAGTCCTCTGGCACTACTCACTTTTCTAATGAGTTATATATTTGTAATAGTACCTCTGTTATTTCTTCCCTCGATTATTTTAATATATACTGATGCAATCCATCTGGAGCAGGGGTTTATCATCTCTGAGTTTTGTTAGTTTTTCGATTATATCTCCCCTTTGTATCTTCAATGTATTTATATTATTTTTGATCACTTCTTCTACTGTCATGTCCACCTGATCCGTCTCCCTGGCGAATACTGAAGCAAAGTAATTATTTAATATTTCTGCCATTTCACTCTCGCAGCCTGTGAGCTTATCTTGTCCATCCCTTAGTGGCCCTATTCCTATTTTAATTTTTCTTTTGTTATTTATATGTCTGTAGAATATTTTACTATTTATTTTTATATTCCTTGATAATTTAATTTCATAATTCCTCTTTGCCTTCCTAATTTGTTTTGACTATTTTCCTGACCTCTTTGTATTTTTTTTGTCATGCTTTTCCTTGTTGTTTACGTACTTAGTGAACACTTCTTTCCTGAGTCTCAACTTTGCCCTGAGTCTTTATTAATCCATGGTGTCTCATTATTATTTAGCTTTGTCTTGCTTTTTAGTAGAATATATTTCTCCTGGACTCTATTGATCACTATTTTAAATGTTTCCCACTGCTGCTCTATCTCTTTGTTTTCCAGTATTGTTTTCCAGTTTATTTTCCCAACTTCCATTCTCATCTCCTCAAAATCAGCTTTTCCCAATCTATTACCCTGGTCTTTGTCATACTCGTGTCCGTCTCAATCTTTATCTTAAACCTTATTAAGTTATAATGGCTATTGGTCATTTTCAATCTATGACTGTTTGTGGGACATTGCTGTGCGCAATTGGCTGCCGCGTTCGCCCACAAATATACAGTCAATTCACTTTACAGCATATTCTGTGAAGCGCTTTGGGACGTCCTCCCGACGTGAAAAGCGCTATATCAAATGCAAGGATTATTATTATTATTATTATTGCCTAGCTATTCCACTACTCGTACTTCTCTTATCTGCTCTGGTTCATTTCCCATTACTAAATCCAGCAGGGATTTCCCCCTTGTTGGGCCCCTTACATACTGGGTAAGAAAGGAGTCCTGTACATATTGAAGGAACTCCATTCCTTTATCCCCTTTACCTACCTCTTCTTTCTAGCCAACTTATTTGGGAGTAGTTGAAATCCCCCATAATTATTACTCTATGTCTTTTACTCATTTGCTTGCATATTTCTTCCTCTACCTCCCTTCCACTATTAGGTGGTTTGTAGAGTACCCCTATTTGTGTTATTGATCCCTTCTTATCTTTTATCTCTATCCACACAAATTCTGTTTCTATCGTACTGATGGCTGTGTCCCTTTTTTCTACTGCCATGATATTATCCCTAACGAGTAGAGCTACTCCACCACCCTTTTTCCCATTTCTATCCTTTCTAAATATGAAAAGGATACTTTCTACAGGTTTCCTGTATATTTATTTGCCTTCTAGGCCTGTTTATCCTCCGAACTCCATAATCATTGTCCGAATTATCCCAGCTTCTTCTTTGAGCTAATTCATCACTTTCCATCATCTCTTCTGCATTTCTATTAATGTCCCTCACGTATGCTTTGGACGTTATTTCTATACCAATAAGTTTCTATACCAATAAGTTTGATTTCAAGATCCTCATCCTCACCTACAAGGCCATTCACGGCCTTGCTCCCTCCTACCTCTCCGACCTACTATCCCCCTACCTACCTGCCCGTACCCTCCGTTCCTCTGGCTCCGGTCTGCTCCACGTCCCCCGCCCCAACCGCCCTACCATCGGTGGTCGGGCCTTCAGCCTCTCAGCCCCCAGGCTCTGGAACTCTATCCCCCAGTGCCTTCGCCTTGCTTCCTCCCTTTCCTCCTTCAAGGCCGGTCTCAAAACCTTTCTCTTTGACCGAGCCTTCAGCTCCCCTCTCGACTCTCTTCCCCCTCCTCGCTCCCTCCCTTCCCTCCCCTTACCCTGACCATTTCCCCCTCCTCGCTCCCTCCCTTCCCTCCCCTCACCCTGACCATTTCCCCCCTGCTCGGGTCATGACCCAACTGTGCAGCGCCTTGGGACGTCCTCCTGACGTGAAAGGCGCTTTATAAATGGAATCTTGTTGTTGTTGTTGTTGCAGAGCTTTTTGGAGCATTAACTTCTCCTCTTTCAAGAGCTTACTGCGTATTTTATTATTCAACCCTATTACAATTTAGTCTCTGATCATCTTTTCTCTTCAAGCTCCATGATTGCATGTTTTACTCAGTTTTCTTAAATCGCACAGTATTGATGAAATGATTCCATACGCACTTGCTTCCTTGTTCCAAATTTGTATCTATCTACTGTGATATAGTCGTACAGCATCTTTCCTGCATGACCTTTATCATCTGATCTAATGGCTTGTCCATATCTTTCTCCGTAGTTGCAAAGTAATCCCTTGCTTCTTCTTCTGCCACATTTAGGACAGAAGCCGACTGCTGTAGTTGTGCCAATTCCTTCACATTTGACACTATTGCAAATATTTTGAAATCCCATTCAAATCTTTGCCAATTATGTCTTAAGTTATCTTCCAACCTTAATAGTCACTGTATTTGTAGGTATCTTGTCATTGCATCTCGCTCTGCTGCTCCAACACTCATTTTGTCTTTTGTTCACTTCCCTGTTCAATCTCTTAGTCTTTTCAAAATCGGTTCAGTGTTACTTCTGACACCATGTTATGTTCTCAACAAACAATGTTTAGAACACTCTTATTTCAGTTCACCAGTTACAAAAATCAAACAGTCCAACAAAAAACTCAGTTTTCTCTGCTTCTTGCTCTTCTACCTCCTGATCCCCTTCCATTGGTCCTAGTCAATTGGTCCTTATTGTCTTAATGAGTATCCAACACTGCGCAACCTCATCCTTGCAGAATACCCACCCTCCTGTAGAATCACAGAATCATAGAATTTTACAGCACAAAAGGAGACCATTCGGTGTATGTGAACCCCTAGGTTTCTCTGCTCCTAAACCCTCTTTAAAACTGTACGATTTAGTGTATATTCCTCTCCTCATTCTTTAACTCAAAATATATCACCTCACACGTTTTTGCATTAAACTTCATCTGCCCTCTATCCCCAAGTCTGAGTCATCAAAAAGAGCAGTGGACCTAAAACCAACCCCTGGGGGACACCACTGCACACTTCCCTCCAGTGTGAAAAACAACCATTTACCACTACTCTCTGCTTTCTGTCTCCTAGCCAACTTTGTATCCATGCTGTTACTGCCCTTTTATCCCATGGGCTTCAATTTTGCTAACTAAATGATGAACCTTTATAAAACACTGGTTAGGCCTCAGCTAGAGTAC